AGCAACTTACTGTTTGTCTGGTATCACATGTTTCATAAGGTATTGATACACTATCACACCATACCAAACAGATAATGTACACATACTTACCAACATTTAAAAGTATAAACAGATTATAGTATTCCATGACACTTTTTCTTGTCTTATCTTCAAAGTCATGCAATCATGAATTATGTTAATTTGTATCTTTCAGGTGCGTCTTGTCCAGAAAAAAGATACCGGCCATGTTTATGCCATGAAAATATTACGCAAAATGGACATGCTGGAAAAAGACCAGGTAAGTTTATGTATTTGTTGTGAAATAAATTAAAAAATCTGCTGTCCTACCACAATATTTACAGCCGTATTGACCTGAAGACATTCTGAAATATATAGCTTGCAAATAAGAATTTTATATTGTAACTTTTATGAAATATCAGTAAGAGACAAATTAAAATCTGAGCCACTTTGGTTGGACAGAAGGAACAAAAAAATAAGCAATTATAATGCCCTTTTAGAACACCAAATATCACTCTACGATAGTCAATTGATATCTCTGAAATAGTTGAGCAATGTAGTCATATTCCTGGAGTTTTTATCCTTAGAGCCTATGATCACCTTATCCATTAATTAAATGGATAAAGATGACAATGTAGATTGTTGAAACGTAGTGTGTAATATAACTAAGGAGTAGTATACCATAAAATTGTGTTCCGTTATTTAATGGGATCTCTACCCCTTAATGTCGCTAAAGGATTATTATCCATTAATAAGCAGTTATAACTTAGAATTAGTATTCTTAATGTACTTGTTAACCTTTATAATATTATTCATTGCCTGATAAAGACCAGAAAACACAGGTTGAAGCATCGCTCAAATACAGTTAGTAATGGAAATCCATAGGAATTGTTTTATTATATTCATGTTATCATTATTTAATATTTTTTTTACAGGTAGCCCATGTGCGAGCAGAGCGTGATATCTTAGTAGAAGCTGATCATCAGTGGGTTGTTAAAATGTACTATTCTTTTCAAGATGCACAGAATCTTTATCTTATAATGGAATTTTTACCTGGAGGTAAGCAGATCCTTTGAGTGAATTAGTACTTTGTGCTATGTATACTTTGAT